TCGAGAAACTAACCGACAGTATACAGTATGTATTTTGAGAGTGACATTAACGCCCCTTCATGTGTCGACTGTGCCACAGATCAATTGAAAGATTTGAGATCAAGTATTAATTAAATTTAGGTCGGAATGAGTCAAGTGCCTTTTTATTTCCGGGTAATACGATTTTATTTTTAGTGAATTTTGGCCAAATTATATGGGTCTCTCCATTTTATCCCTTCGTTTCTATATAGTAAACCTCTGGATGTATTTATATATAAAGAGTATGTAGAATAAATTAATATGACATTACTCTCACTATAAGTTATACTCCTCCTCCTTCCCAGCTGGTGCTAATCAAGCCGAAAGAACTTAGGTTTACGAATGTTTCATACTCAACAAGGAATGATTCTGTAGGGTAAAAGATATAAGGAGAGTAGGGTCACCTCACCGTCCATGTATTAAGTGTAATTTAGCGTCACTCCAGGCGTTCAGTCTCGACTGAGATTCTAGGAGAGTAATCAGACTATCGGCCGCCATCTCGTCTCTAGACTTCTATGGACGACAATTCGAGTCTGAGACGACCTTCTGACCGTAGCTGTTTGTGTGTGTCCCTTGGCCATGACGGTCCTCTTCAATCACGCACCTACAGTTCTTGAGTACAGTATTTGTTCGTTCTTGTGTGTTGTGGGTGTTTATCGTCTTTACCTTCTTAGCTCGGTACCTGTCGACCAGTGTAGAGGAATAACCAAGGTGTCACTCCACCCGTTTTGACGTACGACGACACGGCTGTAGGACTCCACACCACACCCACACACACACACACACACACACACACACACAACACCACACCACACCACACCACACCCACACACACACTACACACACACCACACACACCACACACAACACAAGAGCGTAGGGCTTCAAACACAAATATGGTCGCACGAGAAGTCGGTTAGGTTTCTTTCGGGCTATGCTCAGGTGAGGTTTGAAAGGACGGACGACACAAGGACCTAATCGTTCACAACAGGTCGTTCCTGAAGCTGTTAGGTATGCAACCTACTGTCTGATGTTGTTGTGTGTGTGTGTTGAGTGTGTCTGTGGTCCCCACGAAATCTTTACACACGACTCGGGACAAAGCGGGGCCTGCAGTCTGTAGGACGACCGTTGTGACTCAGCTATTTGCCACGTGACATTTACAATTGCTGAGGACCACACTATAAGCTGTTTGGTCTCCAATCTGTGCAGAGAGACGTTATTACAACACCTAGTCACTCTCTCTAAAGGGAGCGGTTTTGAAGTCTTACCATTCGGCATCCTCCTTCCGCATAAATTTTTTTTCAGGGACATTGGCCATCTTCCTTATTCGACGTTTACGGAGCATGAACAGGAATAGTGAACAAAGAGGACCAAACTGATAAATATTTTATGTATATTAGTTGGTTGACACGAATGTCGAAAATTCCGTTACAAATATGAGTGGTGGATGAATTAATGGTGTTCAATTGAAGAAAACGTTTACAACCAGTTTATTTTTGATTAAAGACTTAATATTTCCTTTGTAAAACTTACTAAATGGTTTACTGGGGTCTTCTGGTGTCTAGCGAACAACTAAATATTTTGAGGTTTGAATTATTTCACTTAATTATAATAAAAGAACACCTTTTTGCTTCATACTGCTTAGTTTGTACAATAAGATGTCAGTGATTGTAGTTTTACTTGGAAATCATATTGTATTTGTAAACCTTGGATTGGTTTAAACTCCGGTTCCCGACGCAGAGTGAAGCCAATAAACAAATAAAGGAGGGCGTAGGCCGAGCCATAGGTGCCTTTCAACTATCAGCGCGGTAGGAGGCCTCATGGCAGCGGTCACGGAATAACAAAGCGGGCCTCCTGACTCCTAGCTGATTGCTCTTATGGTCTGGTAGAGGCACTTTACGAGCTGTGAGCGCGGCGGGGAATGACAGCATAAAGCCCGAGTGGACTACCTGCTACATTTTTTTTTATTTTATTTTAGTCAAACGAAGCAAAGAAGGGAGAAGAGGCACCAAGCGAACGAGAGAAGGTACGAAGGGACCACCGTCCTGATAGCCCGTCCCGCTTTGCTGTGTTCACTCTCCTGCATTCCTTAGGTAGAATTGCGCTATCACTCTACGGTGTCGACGTTACCAGTCGTGTTCTTCCAATATTCATACAAGTTTCTGTCTCCACCGAGGATGCTCCGAAGTTCTTTCCCATAAGATTGGGAGACACTCAAATAGATGATTGTGACTTTGAAGAGGTGTAGTCCATATCCTCTTCCCGTCCGTAGAATTACGGTGTAAAAAGAAACAATCACCCGTCGAAGATTATTCGAATAAGTAATTAAGACTGAAGTAACGCCGAAATACTTCATGAAGAAAAGTTTAGAAGAGGTCGAATTTCAGGTCACTTATCACAAAAGAACACTCACGATGTCGTGTAGTCGGGTGTATCCCGCGTCACTCGAGTAACACTAACACTCAGTTTTTACAGTTGAACAAGCGCGTACCTTGTGGTTAGTTAGGGAATTAAGTCACCTTACGCTGTATTCCTTGCGGTAAAATAAGGTATCCGTCTGTCGTCTGGCGATGTCGTGCTGTTCTCTGTGTAAAGTTTATTGTTTAGTGTAATCTGTAACAGGACGAGTTTACAGCGAAAGAATACGCATGATGGTTTGTACTTGTGTGACAAAACAGGAGGGGAATGATTCTGCTTCGTTTAGTTTTCTTGCAAATGCCCGTTCCGTTACGGGCCCGATTGCAGTAACTACCGATTAACCGACGATCGACGTTTGTCGTATGTCGTATTAGACTTACAATTGGCCGCAGGTAAATCGGGTCCCCTACAGTTTTGGTTAAAGTAGCACCGGTGTAATCGTAAACAAGCGTGAGTTCCCGGCCAACATTGATATATTTGATTATGGTACAATTATATATATTTTTATTACATCGTAATAACGGAGACTAAACCTAATATACCCTATCCTACTCTATTGAAGTATTGATTTTTTTTTTTCTTTTTCTGATGCACTTTCCGTCTAGGATCCCCGCGTTTATTCACGTTTCAGACGAAGTCATGCGTACTCGCTTGCTCTACCGTAACTACCCTTTGGAGAAGACATTGGCATATTTATTTGCATAATATAAGAACACCCGTTCGAGAACCGCCCCCGGTGTATTTTACTCAGCACCCCGGCCTAAACCGCGCGCCCCGGAACTCAAACTGTTGGGCTAATGTCGGAGACCGTTGCCAGAGATTATTCTATGGTCTCTCCGTTGGTTGGCGAGACTGAAGTACTATACATGGCTATATTTTTATATTTCTATTGGGTTTGTGACTGTGAGGATGCGACCGACCACTCGTTTTCTCGTAAAAAACTATAAAAACTATAAAGGGACTCCTGTACAACAGAAGATTAAACGAAATATGTCTATAATAAGGAGAGGTTCATTTTGAATAAGAGTCAGTTACATCAATCGATTATTTTATGTTATGTTCGAATACACATCACAAAATTTTGTTTCTTATGGACAGGGTGGGTGTAGTGAGTTTGATTTTTTTGTTACCATAGAATAAAATCTCTTCAACACTCTAATAACTTATAAACGACTTATACGTTTATATGGACGAAAAGTTTCAATCTACATGTACATTCGAAGTCCTTTTACACAAATTTTTGATCTTATTAGAAGGAGACTGTACGATAACTTCACTGACAGACCCTTTAGTTTTCATCTCCGTGATGGCATATTTGACATTACTTCATCGTTATTAGGTACTAAATTAGGCGAGAAGTTGATAAGTGGTCTTTTGCGTTAAAGCTGGAGTACAAAGCGTTTCCGCCTCGTCACACAAAGACAATTCCAGGCGTTACGAGTACGAAAAGACAAGAATCGGGCAGGAACACACAATACATTGCGAAACAGCGCGTACATTTCGCCATGACGTCTCGGTGTCGAGTTCATGTGGGACATCCGGCTCATTTTGAGATTGTCGCTCTTCTGATTCGAGTACGCGCGGGAGGTCTGCCGGGAGCAACCTCTAAAAAAAATTCGTAACCAAAGAGGACCATGTCACTGCACGGGTATGGTTTACCTGCGGTTAGCCCCTGGAAGAGTGTGTGGTGTGTGAGAAAAGAGTCGACGTTGCGAGGCGGGCTAAAGAGTAGGCGACTCTACGCCCCTGAACGCCGACGCCCACACTACCTCGCGCTCGAGGTTGTTCGCACATCCTATGTCTCACTTATGTGTCTGAGTGAGTGTCTGCTACGAGCTACTCCTTTCGCGTTACACTCGAAACCTTGTAACCGTGTTACATATCGGTAGATAAGATGCAGTCTCGCGAGTTGTTACCTT